CAATCAGAATTTTATCCGCATTGACCAATCATAATCATTAATATTTCACGTGATTTGCCTCCGCTCTAGACGTCCCCTACAATTAGCAATAACATCAATGTATGTTAGCGGGTACCTAAAAGAAAAAATCAGCGAAGCAATCAACAAAATTAGTGAAGCTATAAGCAAGACTAATAAACCTCTCATCGATCCAATAAACAGACTCGCTTATTCTTTGACTAAACATACATCACAGAGCGCTTATTAGAATCAAGTTCTAAAGATATTTCTCTTGCAAAGTTTATTTTTTATTTATCATAACCAAGATGGAAGAATAAAATAAGCGTGATATTTGACGTGATATCCTCCCAAAAAGTAACGCCCAATTTAAAATTATATAGTAAAATATAAAAATTTTTTTGTTAATTTATAATTAAAACAGTTCTTTCATTTTAAAATGATATAAAATTACTAAATATATATATATAACTTGAAATTTTCAATTTTCAAATATAAAGCATAGGAAAACATTTTTTTTATTTTCCAATCAAAACAGTTGTGATATTCGTTTTTTGATTCTGGCCCTCTTACTTTCTGGAGAAATTGTCTATCCAACAATTATTGCTTCGAGATTTGATTTTGCTGAGGAGTATATATATATAATAAAGTGCTAAAATAAAAAAAATGAGAGACTGAGAATTAGTATTATTATTTGCTGAGAAACGTCATGTGATAGTACGAGTTGGAGTTTTGTACTTTTGCCAATGGAGTTTCATATATAATTAAGGATGCTTGCCTAAATCCTTTCAGAAAAATATCGTCATAATTTCGACGGGTTACACACTAATTGTTAATTAGAATTTTGACATAATTTCAGTTACGACGGGTTTCAAAATTCGTCAGAATTTCGACAGGTTATTTACTAATAGTTTATTATAATTTCGACAAAATTTAGACAGTCACTAAGGGATTTTGGCAAGCAACCTTATATATAATATTTACCTGTGGAAAGATACTCTCGAATGCTTGATTTGCCGTTCGTTTTTCTTATTGCGCTTTCGAGTTGCACGAAAAATTTTATGATCTGTAATACAATCTACGTATTTTAGGGATTGTAACATGGATCGATTATTACGATTTAGCACTTTTACTGCGATTACGCAAAATTTTACTATGTTAATGAGTCACCATCTATTAAGAAAAAATGTTCTGCTCAAAAATTTGCATTAGAAATTATATATTTTATTTGGCGACGTAAACACTAGAGAGTGCGAATTGGACTAATATTACCAGATAGTTATATGACCAACCTACAACGATTGCTGTCGTCGAGAACTTTCAAAACACAATCTATAAAACTTCTACTACAAAGCAACGAGTGCTGCGCCTTCAACTTCCCCTTGTGTCGTGTAGGGTTTTTTTAGAAATTTGTAATAGCGCGCACGAATCAAGGTTTTGATTATACTTTTCGCATATATGCAGACAGATATTTCCGTTATTTTATTATTGACAACATTCACTTTTCTTGTCTCGGACAAATTCCACAAGTTTGGAAAATCTATTAATCTATTCGTAGAAGTCCAATGATTGAATACGGATGTTTGCGATTCTTAAAAAAATACTATATCGAACAGAATTTATTATAGCTAATTTAAACTTCACTATATCGATATCGAGATTTCCACTATTAAGAACTATAAAGAGCGTGACTGCGTATTTAATTTATTTCCCTGCATTTATAGATAGATTGCATTTGTAGAGTGTAGGGCTTATAAGCCGTGCAAAAGCGTGCATTTAAATTTTTGATTGGCTGCAAGTTTGAATTTTAAACATTGGTGTTTCTCGAAACAAGAAATCCTGTCAAGAGTAGCTTTTCTGCTCACATATTCAAAATCTAAAAACAATAGTATTTTATATTTATCACACGTATAGTTCTTCACAAAACAGCTTTCATTCAAACTTCACAATTTATTGTAGAACAGTTTCTCTTACGAGATACGAATACATGTATACGAAATTCGTGAGTTACGACAATCAGAGCACAAAATCAAAATGGAGGAGAAAAATAAATTTATGCCGACTTTACAATTCCTTCTATATTATTCAAGCTTTTCAAATAGCACTTCTTTTCTATAAATTCAAAATTATTAAAAATGAACATTTTTAATCTTGTCAGTTCTAACGCCATATAGAGGTATTTGTTTCACAAATGTATAGGATCCAAAGTGGCGAATTGCTAAATTTTCATTTCGGGATTTCAAACCTTTAACAGTTGTATAAATTCCAAATGGGTTTCGTAGAAACATGCGTTAAAGTCACATAATCTGTCGGAATGCGAACTTCTACCGTCTCACCGTCGCTACCGACTATATTTCGCGATGGATAGGCGAAAACTTTTGGTGAAAACAATTGGATTTACAGTGTTTTTTTTTACGTTGACGACGAAATTTACGCAATCAAACCAAATGTGCATTGGTCTTGATCTGTATTTACCTATTTATTATTCCGTATTCCAAGTTAATCAACAACTGCCCTCAAATACAAATTCAATCATTTATAATAACAACTCACTCTTGATTTTATCTTTTCCAAATTTAATGCTTCACTCTTTCCCGCGCTCGGTTGTTTTACGACCAACTCAAATCTCACCATTGTTGACGGTTTCGAGTTACAGTTACTATCCAAATCGGAAGCTAATTCGCCATTAGATGAGATTAACAGCCAATTTACCCTCTTCATCGGTATAACAGTCCGATTTTATTGGCATAACTGATTTAATTTTCTTTAAACCTCACCTGTTCTTCCGCCATGATGATATTTGTGCTATATTAAGTATTTAAAGTTTACAGTTTTTATTTCTCTATTGAAAAAGTTTTATTTTTAGACATTCTTACTTAACTAAAGATCTATTGTACACTCTATAGTTATTACATGTATATCACATCTCGCGAAGTACATTTAATTTTCGTGCAATTTAGAAGATACACTCGGTGGAATAAAGTCGCCAGACACTTTTTTCACGAAATAATAGTGGGAAAACTAATAAAAAAAACTTGTATTAGTGTTCTAAGCATAGATTCAACATATTCTGAAATATGTTATACTAGATTTTTAAGTCTTTTTAATTATTCATTAAAAAGTTATAATAGCATATGATATTTCCAAAAACCAATAATTTGCGCGAAAAAAGTATATCACTGCAACTTTATTGATAGTGCAAAGATTAATGAAAAATTATGTTTTAAGCTTGTAGTTTTAAAATGGTTTGAAGTATATTATACTAAACTTTCAAGTTTTTTATTCATTGTCTAAAAAGTTATAATTAAAATAATATAATTTATTTAAGTAAAATTTTAAAGTGACCACAATATTTTGGGCATTCTGTAGAATACTCCGATTTAGGGGAAAATTGGTACAGTCAAAACTCAATACACTGATACTCGTTATAACGATGACTAAACACTTCTAATAATATTTCCTCGATATAACGATTTTTATATTAGATTCTTAGTATAATGATATTTTTACTAATTATCCCCGATCTATTGTTATATCGAGTTTTGACTGTATATAAGTATTTTATTAATGTGAAAAATTATTCTGCATCAAAATTTCACTAATTAAAAGATTTATGTAGATTCCTTAAATTTCCTAAAATGGCCTGAAAGCAGTTAATCTACTAATATATAATAACAAAAAGTGTATTTCTATATCATTCGCGCCTTAATATACGGCTGAAAATTATTTTAAACTGTGGCCCAACTTCAATTAATAAATACATCGTCCTGCTAAAAGTATCCGGACAAGATCGATGATTGAAAAAAAATTCTAGCACCTTCAACATCAATATAATGCTCATAATTTCTATGTTTGATCGAAATGATCTTATTTCAAGTCTTCATGGTCGAATTCTTCTGGGGCAGCTCTTATTCTGTGTTAACAAGCTAGTGGTTTATATCTTTGAGTTTGCTTAATGAGGTTAAACATAGACTGGAAATACTTCGATTTTTGGCTTAAAATTCTATTCTTCTTATCAATAGTGCTTATTTTTGATTCTGATTTTCATAATCCCATTTGCTAAAATTATTAATAGAATAATTCATTCTTAGATAATTTAGTTTTAGATAAAAATGGAATGGTTTGCGGATTTTTAGGTAAAAGCATTCAGTAAAAATATGACTAAATTCAAATCAAATGTGTAATTTCTAGGTGACTTTGGGCTAAACTTAGCATAAAACATGACGAGATTTTATGCGTAAATATGCAAGATTTAGATTCAAGATTATGTGAACTTCAGGTTTCAGGCAAAGAATTAGCATAAGTTCGGTAAATAGTAACGAATATTCATAAAAGAATTCTTTATCTTTAGTTTTCATATTGAATTTAAAATAATTCAGAATCGCGAAAAAATCTGCTGATGAATAATTTGTGTTTGAAGCATATGTACGATAAGTGTACTTTATATTTTAGAATTTTACATGGTTGGGTAATGAACATTGATTGTTGTTCTGTGGTTTTAAATTAACACGTGACTATAAAATATATGGTGCAAAGAACTCTTGAATCGACAATATATTTCATGTTGAAAATTCTATACTTCGAAATTTGACCGGTAATATTATCAAGAAAGTCCTTTCTATATTTACTTCTTAGCTAAGAAGCTGATCGAATTTTTAACATAAAATATATTGTCGATTTAAGAGTTCCTGCACCACCACCATAGTATTTTGCACGATGAGGAGACGAGTAGTTTATTAATTTACCCATCAAAACAATTATTTATTATTATAAATACGAGAAAAGCTGTTTCTTAGGTACACTCACTATACATACATTGGAAAAACATTAGCGTTAGAATATTTATTACTTTCTTTTGATGCTAACGCAATAAATAAAAATTTCCACATGACGTCTCACATGCAATCGTGCATACATAATCTGATAAGAAAAAAAAACTATGATATCATCTTACATTACTTTTTGTTTTGCACGCATATTTTTCTTGTCCCAAAGAAAAAAGTGCGAATATAGAAATTGGGATTACGAAAAATACATCATTGCAATCCACATGAACTTTTGTAGTGTAAAGAGATAACATGTACATCTATAGGCTCATGTGTAAAAAAAATATGCACGTATTGAAATATGCATAAATGGTACACATAACGAAAATAAAAACAATTGGGGGAACTTCCTAAAACTAGTTTTCTTTTTGTTAAGTGAATTCGTAAAAAATCAATTGTATATATTTGATATTGTCAATGGCAGGTCGCCTTTTTTTATCTTTTAATAACCTGCACGTGTCCAAGCAAAAGCATCGAATGATATGCATGCTATCTAAAAGCGTACATAAATAAAGACTACATGTATATTGTAATACAGTGATAATGGAGACTAAAATAATATCGATATAGATTTTTTGATTTACTGTGTACTACATTAACATTAATCCTGTGAATATTATTATCGAAATAACATTAACGTTAATGAAATTTCCGATAATTTTATCAATAATGATATCATTAACAACATAACAATGACACAGCAGATATGAATTTTGAATCTTAAAAAATTTTTCCTTGTTTTTGTCGATATGGTAATTCAGAGAAAGATTAATAATAACGATAATAATAACGCTGGTGACTACATAGTCGCATCTGGATGTCTTCTATTAGATAATCTGGATTATTCATTTACTTTATTTAGATAATAATTATGATTGAATTGGTTAACGTTAATGTAAGTTTAGACAGTTTTGCTTACACATTGAATGATCATCATAATCATTATTATTGTCTCTTGTGACTAGTATTCACGCATACATTCTTGATGTGTATAGTGTATAAACAGGATTTCCCCCTTCATTTCATTTTCAAATTTTTTCTCACACGCGCGTATATAAACAAACTTAACGTTTATTTTCTATTTTATGCATGCACATATATACAAAAAATACGACGAGATCGTAACTATGCATATAAAATATCGATCGAGCCAGAAACCCGAAAAAAAAGTAGTTATTGTCGTATCACGTAGGTAGAAAAACAGTAAAACGGCGTATTCACATATTCGATGATGATTATACATGTACAATAACCCGATTTATAGACAATTCTACATATCGATATCGATATGTACATGAAATCAGCCTTTGGCGTGTGCTACAACCCCACACAAAACAACGAGAATTTGCATTTGCATAGATAGTCGTTTACACCAAAAAAAAAAATATAGTAATATATTGAATGCAAAATTTTTTTTTCTCCATTTCGCATTTTCCTATTTTATTTAAATTCCATAAAAGAGTCCAATTTCCCAACTCACACAGCAATTTCTATCTTTTCTCTAACGCTAAGATAATAACGATAACGAAAAAACGTGCTTAAAATGTATACGTCATCATTTTCATTGGCAACATCATCAACATCATCAGCAACGTCAGCAATCATCAATAAACGAGGATTACTATCACGCACATCGCCCACACATTCGGTATTCCAACAACAAAAACAAAATAAACCCAAAAGAAAATTTTTTAAACATCTTCGAAAACCGCCATCTTTCGATACTTATTTGCTACGTCGTTCCGATTCCACAACTTCATGTGACAGCAACATTTCAACGTCAAATAATATTTTAAATGGATCAGGAGAGTTTTTGCCATACACAAAAAATCCGCGTGCTAGTTTTGGAAATAGTCGACGTGATTCGTCGTCATCTTTATCTTCCTTTTCTTCTATATCTTCCTCCTCTTCGAATTTTCTTAAATTTTCTAGTATTTTAGAGACATCGTCGACTCATACCGATGAATATGATGATGACTGCGATTCTTGTGCTGAGAATAGTGAAGAAGAAGAATTTCTTTTTATGAGTGCATTTGATTCTTCACAAACAGAGTATCGATCCAGTCATAGCAGTTACTGATGAAGTTATTTTTTTATTTTATGAATATTATGCGAGCAATTCTATTATTTGCTGAATTGGTTGCAAGCATTTACTAGCTTATCAGAAATTTAAATTGATATTTCAAAAGTGACATTTTCAATTCAATATAGGACAATTATATAAGCCAAAAAAAAATTGCTTTTCACATTAAAAATCACAGTAAAAACACGCATAAAGATATCAATATATGTGCACATGCACTCAAAATATTTATTATGAAAAAACAAAAACACACCCTTAGCCATAAAAAAACTCGTTATGTAAATAATACACTTTTTTATTTATTGCGATTATTTTCCCTTGGCTATATTTTACACTGTACATTAATCAATTAAATATCCCCACGTTAAGCTCTCATCAACATATGTCTTTTTCTTAAATAATAGTTTTAAAAAAATGCTATTTGTTAAAATAGCGAATCACGCAGAATATGATTGTTTTTCCAATCAAAGAAATCGATCTTATCTATCTATGCAACTCGGGAATCGACAAAAAACATAAATGAGGCTTTTTGGCTTCTTATTTAAATTTTTATTTTTTATAGTATGCTAAATAAAGATTTTATTATTTAACAATGACCACCTTTGTTTGTATACGCATATATGCTGTACTAGGAGCGGGAAAACTATATATAGGTCACCGCCAAAAAAAATGAAATTTTGTTTTGACCATCTTATTTGTTGATATACATGAAAGTGGGAATTTAGGGTTAATAACAACGGGGTCTGACTGTATATCTATTCCAACATTGCATTTTCTAATATTAAATTTTTGGGGTCTTGTTATATGAATTTGCCGCTCTGTATACACATAAGATTTTGCTTCCCATGATATTAGGTAATTTCACCTTAGATAATAAGATAGATTTTGTTTTTGGGACAGACTCACAACATGTATATATGTATACATAATTAACCTATAACAACTTAAAATAAATTTTAAACTTGCGGCTCAGCCATTTTATTGGTTAATTTCGGTTTTGAAAATGTAATATGGGCCGATCGGTAAACCTGAACAGAACCTAGACCAGATAGATTTTTTTGTTAATTCCCTTTATTTTTATAGTTATTACAATACTTTGACCCAAGCATAACTTTATTATTTGTTACCGCGTTTTGTTAGCAGCATTTAATGAGATCATATTTCGAACTTGAAAACCCAAAAAATTATATATTGAGATTTTGTAGTTGATGAGGCTTTGTAAATATTGAAGAATCCATTGTCGGCGCCTCAATTTATATTCAAATTCATCTTCAACATTTTCTATATTTTATTGACCTCAAATGACCTCGAAATGATCTAGATCATTTGTCATGTGATTTATTTTCAACCAATAGAATTTCAGTGAGTCATTTTTATTAATTTTTATAATAACGTTACAAAGTTTAATTTTAATTTTAGACTTTAAAATGACCAGTCATTGGTCATTTGTCATCAGAGTCATCAGGGTCATTTACCGTCACTGGTTTCTATTGCACTCAGCCCATATAATTGTTCTAAACTTCATTAAATTATTTTTCATTAAAAATTGTGATTTTGCCAAATATCAAATGCGTTTAAGAACCTGACTCTGTTTATTACATAAATATACGTTTATTTTGAATAATCATGCTTTTGTATAATTTTGCCTGGATTTACTACAAATTACTAAATTTAGTCTGAAAAATAAAATACAGAATTAAGAATTTGAAAAAACCAAGTTAATTGAGACAATAAAATTTTAGCTTAAATAGTACTCATGTTTGTTTCTAAAATTTTAGCTGAATTGTGATAATTCACGAACTTATTAAAAGTATGTTTTTTCAGATACGCACTAATTTCTTTGATTGACTATTAGAACTGGTATGAAATAAACTTTTAAGTTTATTGATATATATTATTCTCTTTATTTATAAAGAATCAGTAAATTGAAAAATTTTGATGGAATAGATGTAATGAGTTTAGAATTTTTAAATTTCCGGAGAAAAATCAATTAGCTATGGTGCATAAAATCTAAAGTCATCAAGTGTTTGTATTTTGTAAAATGTATAAACTTCTTTACTAAGAAGTAAATA